GTATGAATACATTTATTGTTGTTGCTTTGTAAACTCATTCCAATTAATTAAACCAAAAAAAAAAAAACAACAACACAAAAAACTACCAGCTGTAAGAGAAAAATATCATAAAGCACAAGGAAATACAAATAATGTCATCAAAAGGTCACTGTTGAGCCCTTTGTAGGCAGTAAACGAGGCAGTGGCGTTTTCTCAAGTGAGTTGACATTAAAAGCAACGAAAATTGCGGAAATTCCGACTTTAGCTTCACATTAAATCCAGCAACTTTCCGCTGCAAAGTAAACGCACATAAATATGTACATATGTATGTAGACTTAGTGCCGCTTCACCCAATTCAGCAAGTCAACCGGGTGAAGAAAAGTAAGCGGGAGAAAAACAAAAAACCAAATTAAGTTCCGAAAATTACACAAAACCGGCAGACGACTACGAAAAACTAAGTCAACCACTTAAGTAATAGTCAAATCTGAGCCAGAAAAAAATGGCGTGACCCAAAAATGCTTCGGTAAAATGCTGTACGGTATTTGTTGCTAAAAAGGTGGAAAATATGTAGAATAAATAGGGGGGGAATATGGTGCCAAATTTCATATAAATATACTTACATATCGACGTTTAAAATACAAAACCGCGTATCAAGATAATGCAAAACCTCGTTAGTGCGGTTGCCAAAATTTTTCAGGAGAGAGTAAAACCTGTACTATTACATTTACATATATGGGCATATCTTATGAGAACTTTTGATTGCCGAAATTTGAAAAAAAACTTGTGGCTTACTCATCTAACCGATTTCATATTATTCTTTGAACCTTGAAACATAAGTTAAAAAAAATGGGAGCCTCAGTTTTCAAGCTCGGTAGTGTAAAAAAAGAAAAGTAAAAAACTAAATAAATTATAAATAACACAGGACTACTAAAAAAATTTACATATATTCGTTTGCCTAGATTAGGTGTGCTATATGTTTTTAGAATCGCTAAGCACTAGTATGAAAGTCGTTTTGATCCATCACGTTAGAGTTTTCAAAAGTCTTCGTCGTTAAGCTAGCTATGATTCAAAGCTTGGAAGCTAACATTCGCTCGGTGCTGGAAGGAGTAATTGAAAATAGGAATCCCACCTATAGCCACCTATAGCGTAGTTGCGGCCAACATTTGAATGAAAATATCTTTAAAAAGAGAATGGCAGAGATTCTTCTTTCTGCTGATAATAAAAATTGAGACATCCAGTTCTGTTTTAAGTTTTTTATTGAAAATTAAAAAATGTTCAAGATCGATGCCCCTATATAAGTGCAACAAAATCTGACTACGTTAAAGGTATAAAAGGTAGAAAGAATTGTCAGGAATAAAAATGTTGCCCTATAAATATGTACAGCTACATACGTACACTAGGTATATGCAATTTTTTTTTAATTCAATATGGGGAGGGAGGATGAGAAGTGATGAGAAACAAACCAAAATAATGTTTTTGTCAAAATTTGGTATAAACGTTCCCGCAGGGAACTCTGAAAAAAAACCAACATTAATATGTACACTAGGGTGTTCCTTAAAAAAATTAAATTACCGATTTTTTCAGTCTCACCCCTTCAATCGGTAATACCACGGTCACAGATATCACATATACATTTTGGCCCCGATTGGTTTCGGTTAAGGCGTGGCGCACAGTGGTCAAAATCCAGATTACCCTACGAAGACGTCTTAAGCGACCCCAATTGGGACCAACACTTATATGTGATATCTTCGACTATGGTAGTATCGATTTAGGATATTAGATGAAAAAAATAACAATTTTAATTTTTTGAGTCTCTATAGAGGAATCCGAACTTCGGCCCCTGTGCGGCACGCCTTAACCATCTCCAATGGGGACCAAAATTTGAGGGTGTGAGACTGAAAAAAAGCGTTCATTTGATTTTTAAGGACGACCCTATTATACGCTTATATAGAAAATTCAACCGAATTATGATTGCAATCAAAAATTGGTTTCTAAGAGTTTTATTTTTTGGTTTTCCACCATTTCTCATCCTCTCCTCGTAGGTACATTGCATATTGGAAAAAGTTTTAGTTACTACTGTCACTGACTTGTCTGTAAACCAAAATGTACAGAATAATTACAAGTCACCAGCAAATCAGTCAAGCAGCAAACGCAAACGGCAATGACAACTGTTGCAAGAACACTTGCTTGTGGCCAAAACCAGCCACTTAATTTCTACGTATGTTTATATATTCTTATGTACATGAATGCAATTGTGTACATATGTATGTATGTACACATGTATGTAGCACATAGTGGTCTCGCTGATAGTTGTCACTGTAATAAAATGTCTATTGCGTGCTTGGTAATAAATTTAAACTCAAATATAAATGCACGAGTGTGACTTTGTATGTGTTTACGTAGTTTATGGCATTCTAAACAGAAGATTCTACCCTTCGTTTTGTCCACATAAAACTTGTAAACACATCAGAATAGTAAGAATTTCAGCATGAAGCAGAGGGTAGAAGTAAAGCGGAGGAGAACACGTGAAGGCAAACTAAGTTATAGAAATGCATGTAAGTGGATATGTGATACATATACATCGACAACTTCAATTAAAAGAGCAGCAAAAGTAGCAGCTACAAATCGAAAAGAGACAAGTAACAAATAATAAGTCACAAAAGCAGCTGTCGGTTGGTAAATAAAATGCACCGCTTAATAACTAAAAGTCAGCGCTGATAGAATGCACACCAATGCATGGAAACTAGCGTGCAAATAAACACAAATCACTCATTTGTAAATATATTTACTTACACATACATATGTGGATGTGTGAGTGCATGTATTGCGAGCGTTTAGCGTTCGTCACTTTGCTTGCTGCATTGGCGTGGCTTATTAGTGCAATAAATATTTTTGTATTAATGAAAAAAAAATCACATTCCTCACATAATTATGCAAATTGCAATGCAAGTTCTCGCCGTTGGCGATTGTATGTAAGTATGTATGGCCGATTAAGTGATTATGCGCATTGACGCATGCGCATAAGCGCAATATATTTAAAAGAATTTTATAGTGTCACATTGGTATGTAATAATTTATTTGCAGGGTTGTAGGCGATTATAAGTTATTTTCCGCTGAGCTGCGCGTTCCAGCCGAGAAATGAAGCGATGCTTGTGAATGAGTTTACAGAAAATTTTAGTCAATATTAGGCAGTTAGATATGGTTTGCTCTTGAAGCTTTAGAAGGATGGCATCGAAGTTTTGGCGTACTAACACATACAAGCCAGCTTATTTCCATTGTTGGCGAAAATAAAAATGTTGGGAAAGTTGCACGCTTGGTCTAGAAGAAGTGCTCTAAACGTTAATCCAGACCAAAAAAAAGGGATATTAATCTACATATTTACCAACAGAAATAAGAATATGAAAGCCAATGAGAGATGGGAGAGCTGATTAATTGACGTATGTAATAATTGTATCCTAGGTGACCATTAGTAAATGCAGGAGTCAGTTCTATCATTAACTTCTTGGAATTATCTCAAATAATCCTAAAAACAGGTGGCCAAATATTCAGACTTGCAAGATACCGTGAAAACTTTGCCCTGATATAACAGAGCAAGATAGCGTAAAAAGTTTTCGGAATTTCCCGTCTGAATGTCCAGCCCTCGAGAATTAAGTACAGAATACCTGGAAGACACATAGTAGCACAACTCCAGCGGATCTGTAAGGAGCTACTATAAGCAATGGTCGTAAACTCATCAAGAAAACCGAAAGTCAGTTAACCTTCTGATTTTTCCAATAGTTGCATGAAGATATTTGACTTAGAGCCTAATTATCTATCTCGAAACTAACTTTCGTTTCGTCTGCCACATAATTCGTTCCTTTGTTGGTACTATGGAAGTGAAAATAGAAAAGGGCTAATGTGTCTATTAAATTCAAGACACTTTAAAGAAGGCTTCCTTAACTTTAGTCAGCACGATTCGGAATATGTTAAAATTATAAGGCATAATAATGGAATCCTAAAGCTCTGACTAAAATCAGAAAATGAACCATAGGAGAAGAAGTGAAAAAAGTTCTTCGTCATGTTATAAAACAGTATCTATAAAGGCTCGCAATATACGTAGTTTCCTTAATCCTAAAACCTTAACCCTATTATTTAAAATTTTCATGAAATTTGTTTTGTGTGTTCTCGTTTTTTGAAGTCGACTTATTCATAAATAAACATAACTTAAAGTGGAACAATTTTTTTCAAGGGTTCGCAGACTCAAGTGAGAATATATTAATGCCTAGCCCCCAGGGTTTAAGAACTTAAAATTTTCCTCAGTGTAATGTTAGTATATATTATTTTGCAGCGCAAGTTATGCAGACGTTTTTGGAGTTTATAGCTGTACAGCGTGAAAGGTTTTATTAGTCAAGTTTATTATGCCGTATTTCCACTAGGAATTGAAATTACAAAAATGAAACATTGTTTACTATTACACAAATGTCATGGGGAAACAGTCGTATTTAATGTAATAACACCGATTTTTTTAAGATTAAATTTTTTTTATTAAAATGTTGACCATTCTCAGTGTAAATCCGACATTAATATTTTAATCTGACATTCATATTTTAATTTGACATGCCAGTTATATAGTTAGAAAAATGCAAAACAAAATTTAGCAGGAACCGAAAATAACGTTTAAATATCAAGATTGTTTCCAAATTGTAATTTTTTTTTTTTTTTAAATGTTATTTTGATTTTTATTTTTTTATTATGATTTTTATTTTTAGGTTAATTAAAATTCGTGAATTTTTGAGTTGTATTTTTTTCCATAAAAAAAAAACTATGTTTTTTTTTCGAAAAAAAAATTATTTCGTCGGCAAAATAGAAACCCAGTTTTAGCGGTTGAATTGTGATTTTTAGAATTTAAACGAATTTTGAAAAATACACGTTTTGCTGGCAGACAAAAAAGTGCTAGAAAATCGTTAGTAAATATGTCACCCAACTCTTGGTTAATAACATTCTACATGCTTCTATTATAAGGACACAAAAAGTCAACTTACCTTGCAGGTTTGAAAAAATGCGCCAACACTAGTTTTCGTATAAAAATCGGCATTGTTTTTGGGTGCCTTAGCAGGTAACGGCTGTTGTTGTATAGCATTTTGTTGTTGCGTAGCAGCAAGTGGCGCATGCGGTGGTGCGGTTTTAATGGCAACGGTATCCATTTTTTTTTTGTGGAAATTATTTTATAGTGTTTTGCACAAAAAAAAAATTGCTTTACAATTTTTGTTCTTAATTAAAAACTTTTTAAAATCTATGCGTGATTAGTTTGCCAAAGTAGTGAACGTAGTAAAAAATCTTTCTAACACTTTAGGCGCATTTTTGACGCTTAGCAACAAATTATCATTTGCTTGTGCTTTTTGCAATATTCGGGCAGCTATTACACGCTTGAATGCGCGTCAAAGGCGGTCTGGGTGTGCGAACAAAAGCGGCTAATAGACACATGCGAACTTTTTATTACTTTTTGAAAGTGTTGTTGTTATTGTTTTCAAGTTTTTTTTATTTTGTTTTTTTTTTTTTCAATATTTATTTATTTTTTTCTGCTTTCTAGCTTCAAAACGTTTAGCAGTCAACCCTTTAATTTGCGCACTGTGTGCCTTACATCCATAACATATGATGCACAAATACACATTTACATACACCGGCAAGCACTCAGCAAAGGTACATGCAATTGATGAGGGTTGTGCACCTTTTCTGTGTGTCTGTCTGTCCGCCTTCGAGTGTGTGGCAAGTGTTTCTTATTCGGCTTGCAAAAAAAAAAGAAAGAAAGAACGGAAAGCAAAAAAAAAACAAAATTGTCGAAACCACCACACAACTGTTGTTGATTTACTTCCCTTCCATTTTAGCACGACTCTTCTTTCATGTTTGCACGCTTTCGAGCAGCTTTTGCGACTTTTACACCTGTTCTTCGACTGCCAACCATATAATTTATTTGTCTTACTGCTTATATGTATGGCTACTAGACAGCAGGCGATTTGAGCTTGTAGATGTTACTTTTTCTTATTATACCACTTCAGTAAATTTGTCAATTGTTGTTTTTATTTTCGTCACATATGTACATATGTACGTATGTATGTATGTACATCACATGTCATTAGTTTGCGACACTACAATTAGTATAGCACAAAAATGTTGGTAAGCCATGAAAAAGGCCTTCAATTCGGTCGCACTTACTTTGTTTTCTAAGCGTTTTTTTTTATGATTTTTGTTTTTCTTTGCGATTTTTTTCTGCTTGGATTTCTGCTCACTCACTTCATCTCCGACATCAAATGCCAAAAGTTGCACATTAGTGACTACAAACAGTTCACAACAGCACAAATTAGCGCTGAACTCGAAGCGCTCGCAGCAACTCTCGTTGATTGTTTTTTTTTTGTTGTTGCGCTAGCGCAAATTTTTAACTAAACTTCAATGAACACCGAAAAATCTTAGTGCTAACAGCATTCAATTCAATTACAAATGCACAAATTCAAGTACAACTACCACAGCGATTGCTATAACTTCAGTAATCCATCAATATTCGTTTCACCTTTCTACTTCTTCATTAAAAGTATTCAGTATTTCTACTTTAGTAGCCACTATGAAGACATGTTTTTCCTTACTTTTCCACAACACACTTCGCTTCTATGTATGTATGTAGCGCTCTTCACACCATTCATGTAATTTCTCCAGTTACATATCTATTTATTTACTTAGTTTGTGCTACATTTCTCCAGATTTGTGTTTTTTTTAATTGTATGTATGTTTGTTTTGTTTGTTATTGCTCACTTGCTTGTTGATTGCTTTACTTGCGCCATCACGTCCACTACTCTTTACCGCATGCGTTGAACTAAAAGCAGTCGGCGTACAGGTAAATGAAAAATCCCTAAACCGAGCTATCCACTCGGTGTATGCAAGCATTGTTCGGCGCTTTCATTGCAAACATTTTCGAAGAAAGACTAAGAGCGCCGCGCGGCTTACCTACTCCAATAAACAATTTGTGATGTTGTTCGCTCTTTGCCGCTAATACCTGTTCTTTTAGCCAATTTGCTGCTGCGTTGCTTGCTGTTGGCTCAGGAGCGTCAAGCGTCAGGCGCTTAGCGGTAGTGAGAAATTTTGTTTTGTAGCCCATTCTGATACAAATTTGTTGTCTACTTTTGGGTGGGATAGTTTAAAGTTTGTAAAGAAATGGTCGAAAGTATTTAATTCTGTTAGGTCTCTGCTGGTGCCAGTTTATTTTTCAAATTTTAGCGGTAGCTGCTAGTCGGATATTTCAGCTGTGGTTTTAGCAGAGGCTATTTAAATGACAACACGTCCGCTGATGTTTACATATCAGCTACTTTACAGCGGTGATCTTATGCCAGAGCATGTTATTAACGTTCGTTGGCATCAACTTTAGAGCGAGTTTTTCACTGAATGGTTGTGGTTTAAACTTAGTTTAAACGCTCAAGCTGGCTGGCAGAGAAAAATTGGCCCTTAAAGTCAGTAAGATTTGGCATTGGGAACATGAGCTTGCTGTGCATATGTATTAGTTGTCTTTCCAGATCGTTTACCATGTAAAGAAAATTACTGTTTTTGGATAGAAGATTCAGCCCGAAATCACGAAGTTACTTAATAAATACTGTGGAGATATAAAACCTTAAGTTTTAATGGCCAAGAAGTGTTTTACTACCCTCCGTTTTGATCATACAATCACAAGCAACGCTAAACGTTCCGGCCGCCATTCATGGACTTATGAGGAATCTCAGCTGAGCAGATACATCACATTCTGCATGAATATTTGGACATGAGAAAGCTGTCCACGCTGGTGATCCTGCGATTGCCACCCACTCGGGCATAAGCGCAGCCGTCTGACCACTTCAAAGGAGTTTTTACGCCCTTTCGTAACCGTGAATGAAATATAGAGTTCCAGACATCGTGAAGTGTGAAAGATGTGGACGTTTTCTGAGCTTTGGATAAACACGGCATTGATTTGAGGATTGTCCTTCTACAATAAAGTTTACCCGGGCAGTCGCAATTAGCGATGGGCAAAAATCGTGAGTTTCTACGTTACACAACGTGGCACGCTTTTTCACGCGTGAACGTGAACGATTTTGAGAGTTACTCATGAAACCTCCGTGAAATTTTCAGTGGTTTGATTGTGCGTGAGTTACACTTTCCCGTTAATCACGTAATTTTCACATAAAAAATCATAAACTTACTGTTTAACTTTGAAATAAAGTTTGAGTGGCAACATTATTTGTATGGGGAGTTACTCTAGAGAAATCCTATTATTTGAAAAGGTCAAAAATTGTCTAAACATCGAGCTAAATGTCACAAACTATGCTGAAAAAAACCACTTTTTTTTAAATACATTTTATTCATTAACACCGGGCGCTCTTAAAAATGCTTAAGACTGTAGTACTTAAATTTCAGATATGGAATCAGTTGTATAAAAATGTTGCAAATCAATTTACGAAAAATAAGTACTGCAATTGAATTCTTGTTTAGTATGTATGTTGGGCAGAGACCCAGAATAATAATTACTTCATGGTAGAGTTTTAAAAAAGTCATCAAAATTTTCGTAAGATTTATAAAAGTCTTTTGATAGTAATTATGTGTGAGAATAATTTTTTAAGTCATCGATAACTATTATTTTAAGACTTAAATAATAAAAGCATTTTCATAATAATTATCAGCGATATAAATATTTTTAAGTCTTTAATGACTTTTATGTTGAGACTTTTATTATTAAAGTCTTTCATAATAATTAAGAGTGTGAAAAAATTGTTTAAGTCTTAAAGGACGGGGCTTGTTCAAAAACTCTTCGTTTGCGAAGGTTACAGTTTTTTTTTTTTTAAGGAAACAGTTATTTTCTTGGGAGTTGATTTTTTTTTTAAATGACTGGAAACGCTGTTTTCGGTATTAGTTTGTCAGTTGTCAGTGTCTATCCCTCTTGTCTGTAGTAGTAAGAAATCACGGTTTTTCACATTCTCAGCTATTGTCCGGGATTGTGCAGGCTCAGGTTAAAATGACGTAGGCTTGCTGATTTGATGGAAATTAGTTACTTAGTGCTGCTAGTACCCAACCCCCCTCAATAGAATCTTTACTTTAGCAAAAAGTGTGTTGAATTGATCCTGCCATTTAGCATAATAGTCTGATTGTTTAGGCTTGCCTCCAGCACATTTGAATTTTGTTATATTTGCTTTGACATCAAGCTAACTAAACGAATCAGCAGAGAAAAATATTGACTTAAAGATCTACCGATTGCTTAACAAAAATGGTTAATACACCATAATCTTCGTAAAATAGCGACACTTAAAAGTTCAAGCAAAAATTAATTTTGAAGTTATAGTTTTGATTTTTTCACAAAAAATATGGCGAACATTAATCAGCTCACCTTTTTGAAAACCGCCGCCTATTTGTTTTTTTTTGTAAAAAAAAAACAAGATGTAAAAGTTATTTGAACTCGGTGGGAATTCTGTTTCATAGCTTCATATAGAGATTTACAAGCAGTATTGAAGGTAAGCAGCTACAGAATCAGCAAAAATTTCAAATTACATTCACATTCTCTGCTGCTGGTGGCTGTTTATTTTTCAGTTTTTAGTGGTAGCTGCTAGCAGAGAATGTTAATTTTACTGTTACTTTACATCGCACACTTCGAAAAACGTAATTTCTGGCTTAGCACGCCTATAAGTATGCAACGGTTTAGTGTATTACCCCCAAAACAGGCACGCTGCTTTAGTCTTTCGTTTACAAGCCGCTAAGTGGACGCACCAACACAACTCTACTAAGGCTTCCTAAGAGAAAACGGCTCAAAAAATTATGTCGCATTGAGTAAGGGATTTTTATTTTATTTCATACTATACTATTTGAAGGGAAATTTTTGAGAAAAATAAAACTAAAAGCTAATGTTTTTCGAAAACTTCGCCAAAGCAGGTAAAACTTTAATAAGAAATACGAGTATGTCTTGCATGGCGTTGGGCTGCCAGCAAAACCGGATTATGGAGTACTTAAAACTGGCGATAGGTAAAAAGGGACTAAAAACTATACGCGAAAGTTAAAAATAACGTTGGCGTCAGCAATATTTTTTCAAGTCACGTACTATAGTCTGTCGGAGATAAGAAATCGATTTAAAGTATAGCAGGCGGACAGCTAAAGTGGGATTTCGAGGAAAAATGAGATACACAAGAAGTGAGTGTAGTTGAGGAGTGGAGGCGCAAAGCATAAGGAGTGTAGATATTTTTTGCGGATTTAAATCTTTTACAATTTTTTAAATCTTACTGAAGACAAGAAAAAATTTAAAAATTTTATTTTGCTTTTATTTTTAAGTTTTAAATTTGTAATTTCTAGTACAATTTATTTCCAACTAACTTGATTCGAACTTCTTTTAGCTTCAAACTTGAAAAGTAACGTACAACCAACGGCGCAGTCGCTACTTGGCGCGCATGCGCAGACTCAAGAGCACGCGCGCATCTCAAGAAAAATAGTAAAACACAAACCAGAAATCTCAACTCAGCTGCAAACACAAAATTAAGACAAAGTAAACAACAACTACTTTGATACTTTAATACAGGCACACAGCTGTATGAGCTTGGGTGTAGAATAAAGCCAAGCGCAAGCGCAAAATAACAAACAGGCAGTGTAGCTGCAGCCGGTTGCAAAACAAAATGGCGGCTGTTTGGTTTGCGTTTTTTCTTTCTTATTTTGCGTTTCTTATTTGTTCGCCTTTTAACTCTTTCTTATTGTTTACCTGCCACTCGCAGTCGGAGACAATCAGCATTGGTAAACGAGTTTTTTCTTTTTGTTGTTGTTGCCTACTTTGAATGCTTCTTCTTATTCTTGCTTAGTTGTTCGAGCACGTAGTGGGTACTCGTATTTCGAGGAAGAACATAGTAAAATAGTTAGCACATAGTACATATTTATGAGCTCTTATATAGCTATAAGCAGTATGTGTGTTAAGGCTTTTAAGTCCCTTGTAATTTTACTCGATGCATTGGTAGAAGGAATATGTAAGCTAATGCTTTCACATTTGTATGTATGCATGCAGTTATAGAAATCTGTTCGCCTTTCGGCCAGCACTCGTTTGGGCATAAAATTGCTTGTACTTTAATTGCCGCGCATTTGTGTGTACTAAAAGCGCCTTTAAAGTGCAATTGTATGAGCTGTGATAGCGCTATTACTAGTGCCATTTATATTGTCAGCCTCATATAGCCATAGAAAAAGGGTCGCTAGCCCATCTTTCAGTTTACTTTGGCGCAGGAGAAGTACTAAAATCCTCACTCTTCACTACCAGCTAGACGCCTTTTGCGCCCTACCCAGCAATGGGACTAGCTTGGACTTTGATTGGTTTGGTTTCTTAGTTTTGTTTTATTCTCTGTTGCTTGCCTCTATTTCGCTGCTATTATTTTGCTCTTTAACTTATTTTGTATTTTTATGCCCTGCGGCGCGCGTCTGCCAACTAAAGTTATGCCTCTCCATTTCTATTTTATTTTTATCATTTATTTCTGTGATATTGGCAATGGTGATATTGATGGGCAATCAGCCAGTTGGCTATTGTTTTTGTTTACGCTTATTTTTGCATTTTTTTCCTTGAAGCGTATGATGCGCAAAAAACGCGCGAAAAATTCAGCTTGCTTAATTTATGTTTCTTGGCTGTGTTTGTTTGTGTGTATTTATATGAAAAAGTATGTGTTCTGAATTTTAAAGGTCTTGTTTAGTATTTCTCAGTAAAGGATACAAATTAAAGCAGAATTTATGCTCAAAGTGTAGTTTTTGATATGGCAGGTAAAGTTGTGTGGAATAATATACAACAATATCTCAAGTCGGTGGATATGATTTTGTGGCAAAAATT